GGGGGGTCGTTTTTTGTATCACAGCTACTCCTGGACTGCCCGGTGGGTGCAGAAATAACTTTCCCGACTCTCCTTTTTGCCACGATGGCCACATTTTGGGGGAGATCTGTGAGTTCTCTTGACAGTGGAGGGGGAAAGGCAGGCCCCACCACAGCCTGGGTTCCCCACTCTGGGATCCAGGTGTGCTTTCCCCCCGACAGCTTCCATTTGCAGCCCCACTGCTGGGATCCAGCCGGTACCAGCAGTGCTCACTGGGTCAGGACCATTATGGAGGGCTTGAGATGCCGGGAAGGCCGTCTTCTGATAAGAGCTGATAGGACTAAAACCCTTCGCTGGATTTGGTTCTCATGCATGCCTCCTCCTCCAACTCTTTGGGTAGAGAAGGGGATGCTGGGTGTCTTAGGGGTGCAAATGCTCTGGATCCTCTTCTTTCACTGCGGTTCCCGGTCATGCATATGGGTGTGGGTGTGCTCTGAATTGTCAGCCCACTTTAATCGTCCTGGCCATTGTTCGAGGGATCATCTGTTCAGTAAGACAGTTGGGGATCTGTCGCCCTCTGATGGAGTGGTGGATTTCCTCAGTCTTAACAAGAGTTAAACTGGGACACCCGGATGATGTTTACAGCAGAGAGGTCCCCCGAGTAGCTGCGCTGAGCTCTGCTCCTCTCTGACATTTTGTGCAATATGCCTGGCTTGTCTCCCTTTTTGCCATGGCACTGGGGGAGGGGTGTCTCTGCCAATTGGCAGCCCACAGGGACCGTGAGCTTCTCGCCTCTCCTCCTTTGAGTTCTGCCTTCTGGGGTCTCAGTCTTAGCATTTGGATCGTCGTCACCCCTGCAGCTTGGAAAGGGGCTGTGAAGGGGCTTTTACAGGTTGGGACCAGCCAAGAGGAAGCTGGGAGGAGGAGAATCGCGGAGGGAGAAATCTCACCTGTCCCTTTTATGCCTGCCTGATCACCATTCCGGTCATCACCCCCTCCCCCTTTTTTAAAAGAAAGTTGCCTCAAGTGAAATGTGAGTTTTTATTTGTTGCATTCATCTACATTTCTGTTCAGATTTTCCATCTGCCCAAGCTTGACAGGAGAGTTTATGCAAATGCATCTTTATGCATCCTTAACAGGGGAACTTGCCAGGTCAAAACAAAGTCTCCTGCAATCTGTTAATGATAGTGTGTAAAAGGGGGGGAAATACCCTTATTAACTTGTCTTGCGAACTGCACTTTTCCTGATAATTTTAGTCTTCTTTCACTTTTTATTCTTCCTGCCGATGAACTTAAAATGTCTGTCAAGTTCTAATCTCTTCAGGACTCCTTTGCTCAAGCACACGTATCACAGGACTGGGTGATGGCTTCATGGGCAGGTTGAACAAATGACCTTTTCTCTGGCAATCTAAAAAATGGCAATTTATCTCTAAGCGACTGGGAAAAAAAGGGTTAAGGGCTGAGAGGTGGTCCTGGTGCAAACCCAGTGGAAATGAGCGACCAGGAACCACGGTTCATTTTGACAGTGCTTGAGCAGGAGAAGGGTGAGGACATTGCCCTTAATGAGTGGAAAGATGTTCAAACAGAGTAGAGAGTTTTAAGTATCTGTGTTCTGTGCCTCTCTGAACAGAGAATGCAGTTTCTGTGAAAGCTGTCTTTTGTAACATGTCAATATTTTTTACAAAATAAATTATTCTGTTGCTTAAAAAAACCCTGTAATGCAAATGCTGTCTGTCCTTGTCTCTACACTGAGCTGTCCACTTCAAAGGCTCCCTGAAGGCAAGCCTCCATGAACTGCAGAATTGTTGGACTCTACCTCTTAAGAATGAGTTTACACTTCCCTGACCTGGATAGCCCAGGCCAGCCCGATCCCGTCAGATCTCAGATGCTAAGCAGGGTCGACTGTGGCAAGTCCAAGAGAGCCAGTTTGGCGTAGTAGTTAAGTGTGCAGACTCTAATCTGGGAGAACTGGGTTTGATTCCCCACTCCTCCTTTTGCAGCTGCTGGATGACCTTGGGCAAGCCATAGTTCTGACAAGAGCTGTCCTTGAAAAAGAGCAGTTTGTGTCAGAGCTCTCTCGGCCCTGCCTACCTCACGGGGTATCTGTTGTGGGGAGGGGAAGGGAAAAGAGTTTGTAAGCCGCTCTGAGACGCCAAGTGAAGAGCAGGGTATAAATCCAATCTCTTCTTCTTCCTTGGATGGGAGACCTCCTTAGAATACCAGCAGTCGGGAGGCAGGCTTTATTCAGCCACCGCTTTGAATATCCTCCAGGAGAGGTCAGTCACTGGAGGTCGCCATGACTCCCCTGTGCACATGCACACACACATGCGCATAGGGAAAATACAAAAAAATACCAAGAAAGAAAAGAATGAGGTGACACTTTGCAAGGCTCTCCATTCATGGCGACAAGCATGTGAATGGATGTCTATGAGGATGGGTGTATGTATACAAAGGCTTCTGCACACATGTGACTTATAAGCTGCCCAATCAGACCATCAAGGTCTGAAGCTCTTCCACTGCACCACAGTC